CGGACGCGATGATGGAGGAAGAGGACGGACGTGACAGTGGAGGATGGACATGACGGGGGGTTACTAGGTGTAAATATAAAATAATATCTTATTACCTCCTCTACTGCCACTTCCAGCAATGTCTCCTCTCTACTTCCTATTTATAGCTTACATCACTTCCTGTTTTCCATAGAGACTTCCTGTCTGGGTAGAAGTGAGATTCCCACCTTGTGGACCTCAGAGGAACTGCAGCCCCGAGAACCGTCTGGTAGTGTGATCCCGGCCTTGTGCTGGGTGTGTATGGACTGTATGTCCTCATAGAGGGGTCACCTCCACTCCCACCAAGGGGGACAGAAATATATTCCTGAGCGGGATGAGTGGAGGGATTTTGGAACCTTTGGTTTTGCAGCAAAACTGATTATGAATTTAATGGTGATTTGTCACAACGAGTCTCTGCGTAGGAGACATTTGCTCAATGAAACATAACTATCTTGATGAAAACCTTCCCATGCAGTTTTGTAAGATCTTTGATGTTCATATTCATCCAAAGAAGGCTCAGGTGGTGGAACAGTTAACGTTGGTCTCCTCACCATCTGCATGCAGTCCACATCTACTGCTTTGGAGCAGCCATAACGATCAGGTTGGGGCATCATACCCCAGGACATATGGAACATGGAGTCATCCCTCCTCTTTCAGCGTGTTCCACCTCTAGGATGTGCTGGTGGAAGATTAGCCATGTAAAAGAGGGAGAATACAGCAGAGGGCCAGCGTCCCGGTTGCAGGGCAAATATTTGGAGATGGAATTTCAAGGATCTTCTGAGAACCCCATGATAGGGGCATTTCCATATTTCCAGTCATGGCTGCCCAAAAAGACCTGACATTTCTTTCTAGAAACAGCGAGTGTGGGAAAAAATCCTGACTACTCCAGTATCTTAGCAGGTGGGATGATAGGGCTTTACAGGTGAAGCAGCAGGTGAGACAACATCAATGGGGATGGAAGACCACCCAACAGCTGCAGTAAAGGGGCACTGGTGCACTTACGTATAGGAGGTCACCCATAAACCCATGAGTGAGACCTTCAATAACTACCATCCTGAGGGCCTTTTTTTCTCCAGCCAGAGGACACATATTTTCCCCTTCATGATCAGGCCATTTTTGCTATTCAGCACTGCGCTACTTATAGTAGCTATAGGAGCCCAGCATTTTGAAAAGAAAAGCAGTTCCACTCTTGCACATTGCAACAGCTACAAGAAGTACGATGGCCACAACACAGGAAGAACAGTCGCCTATATTGTACAGGCACCCCGTGGCAAGGCACCAGACATCAGAAGGAGATACACTATATTGCTAAAAGTATTGGTCGGCCGGCCTTCCCACGCACATGACCTTTAATGGCCCTCCAGTCTTAGTCCGTAGGGTTCAATATTGAGTTGGCCCCACCCTTTCCACACACATGACCTTTAATAGCCTCCCAGTCTTAGTCCGTAGGGTTCAATATTGAGTTGGCCCTGCCCTTTCCACACACATGACCTTTAATGGCCTCCCAGTCTTAGTCTGTAGGGTTCAATATTGAGTTGACCCCGCCCTTTCCACGCACATGACCTTTAATGGCCTCCCAGTCTTAGTCTGTAGGGTTCAATATTGAGTTGGCCCTTCCCTTCCCACGCACATGACCTTTAATGGCCTCCCAGTCTTAGTCTGTAGGGTTCAATATTGAGTTGGCCCCGCCCTTTGCAGCTATAACAGCTTCAACTCTTCTGGGAAGGCCGTCCACAAGGTTTAGGAGGGTGTCTATGGGAAGGTTGGACCATTCTTCCAGAAGCACATTTGTCAGGTCAGTCACTGATGTCGGGGGAGGAGGCCTGGCTTGCAGTCTCCGCTCTAATTCATCAAAGGTGTTCTATGGGGTTGAGGTCAGGACTCTGTGCAGGCCAGTCAAGTTCCTCCACCCCAAACTGACTCCTCCATGTCTTTATGGACCTTGCTTTGTGCACTGGTGCGCAGTCATGTTGGAACAGGAAGGGGCTATCCCCAAACTCTTCCCACAAAGTTGGGAGCATGAAATTGTCCAAAATGTTGCCGTAAGAGTTCTCTTCACTGGAACTAGGGGGCCAAGCCCAACCCCTGAAAAACACCCCCAAACCATAATCCCCCCTCCACCAAACTTTACACTTGGCACAATGCAGTCAGGAAAGTACCATTCTCCTGGCAACCGCCAAACCCAGACACATCCATCGGATTGCCAGACACGGAGGCGTGATTGGTCACTCCAGAGAACACGTCTCCTCTGCTCTAGAGTCTAGTGGCGGCATGCTTTACACCACGATATCCGACGCTTTGCATTGCACTTGGTGATGGAAGGCTTGGATGCAGCTGCTCGGCCATGGAAACCCATTCCATGAAGCTCTCTACACACTGTTGTTGGGCTCATCTGAAGGCCACACCAAGTCTGGAGGTCTTTAGCTATTGACTTCTGCGCACTGTGTGCTTCAGCATGCACTGACCCCGCCCTGTCATGTGACGTGGCCTACCACTTGGTGGCTGAGTTGCTGTTGTTCCCAGTTGCTTCCACTTTGTTATAATCCCACTAACAGTTGAGTGTGGAATATTTAGTAGCCAGGAAATGTCAAGGATGGACTTATTGCACAGGTGGCCACTTATCACGGGACCACGCTTGGAGTCACTGAGCTCCTGAGAGCGATCCATTCTTTCACCAATGTTTGTAGAAGCAGTCTGCATGCCTAGGGGCATGATTGTATACACCTGTGTCCATGGAGGGGATTGGAACACCTGAATCACATGGTATGGAGGGGATTGGAACACCTGAATCACATGATATGGAGGGGATTGGAACTCCTGAATTACATGATATGGAGGGGATTGGAACACCTGAATCACATGATATGGAGGGGATTGGAACACCTGAATCACATGATTGGGAGGGCGGGGCCAATACGTTTGTATGTCAGGGTTGCATCAAAGAGACAGCCTATGAGTGAAAACTCCTCAGTGGAAACTTTCATAAGCTGTAAAGATGATGTAAAGCTTGGAACAGGAAGCAATGGTGGCATAAAAAAAAAAAAAAAAAAAAAAGCTCCGCCTTGTACAAGTTCTGTTTATTGTTAAAATGTATACCAAATCACACCAAACTTTATAAATAAGATCAGGTCAGACATAGAGGTCTCATGGAGGGTAGTCACTATTACAAGTCATAAAAATCTGTATTATTATATTTGCATTTTTATCAAGTAAATGTGAAATGTTATATCTGAAAAATATCATATTTTCCAATTTCAAGCAACAGGTGGCACCCTCCAAGCACATGAAGCTGCCTGTACAGGCTGATAACTACTGCACTGAAATGACCAGTCTTGTTGTGTAGTCTGATCTCCACTTCTCTTCATCCACAAGCAATATCTAGCTCCTCTCTCTCCATGATGTCCTCCATGGAAGCTTCTGCTGAAGGTCAGGGGAGATCAGACTACACTGCTAGAGGGACCCAACCAGCAGTGAACCCCCCCCCCTTCTCTCTCACCATGATGTCCTCCATGGAAGCTTCTGCTGAAGGTCAGGGGAGATCAGACTACACTTCTAGATTCTACTGAAGATTCTACTCTTCATTCCCTTTGATAATGTGCTCTTGCCACGAAACGCGTTAGGGATAAGGATACCTCTCCTACCACTTGTTACCCACATGGTCCATGCATCTGACCATCGGCCATCTTTTTGGATTCTGTGAATCAGCTTTTCTGGATATCATTATGTAAGTGTGCTACTTGGTCTTTAGCAATCTCTTGAATAAAAATTACTACACTATCAAGATTTCTCTCTTTTGGGTCTTATTGCTGAGTCCCTAAGGTGATCTCCTGATATGAAAGCACACCACCCCTGGCGAAAGACGATATAAGGCAAATTCGTGTTACTGTAAGGAGGCGTACTCCCCTGGTGGTAGGAGACGGCATGATTGATGCAAAGGTGTTCCTGAGGTCCCTTCGCTGATGATCTTTTGGCTGTGACCAGGAGTAGGTCATTATACTCCAATGCGCTTTTTCTTGCGCTATCTGGTTAGTGCGTTTTGCAGCTATTCTCCTATCACGGAAGTCACGAATTTGATTGGCACACGGATGTACTTCTAATGACTCTAACATCCCTATCACTATATGCACTTTGTTTGGTCGGATGAATCATTAATACTTACCCGTCCATTGTTTACATTAATTTGTACGTTTAATTTAGTGCATGTTATACCTTCAATGTATTTCTTTTAATTCTGATGTGCACACGCCAATTCTTTTTACTACATGCTCAAGCGCTGCATTTTTGCTGTTTTTATTTTCTATGAGGAGGTTATACGAGGTTTACCTTCATGCTAGCAGCTTGAATCCCTCAGACCAAGCGCTCGTCTTTTACCCCATTTTACACTTCCAGAGGGACCCAACCAGCAGTGACCCCCCGCCCCCTTCTCTCTCACCATGATGTTCTCCATAGAAGCTTCTGCTGAAGGTCAGGGGAGATCAGACTACACTGCTAGAGGGACCCAACCAACAGTGACCCCCCCCCCCCCCTTCTCTCTCCTAGCAGAGGAAGCCAGACACAACTTTGAAGTCTTTAGTGATCTCTGATCTTATAAAGTGTTTCTTCCATGATAAAGATCAGAGGAGCGCTCAGCCACGTTTTCTGAGGTGTATATGAAGGTGTGCTTCTTCCCAGTGTGAGATCTCTGATGTACGGCAACATATCATCCATATAAAAGACATTTCCCACACTCAGGACACTAAGACAGCTCGAGGGTGGTGTGGGTTCTCTGATGTTTGGGAAGACAAGACTTCTGTAAAAAAAACATTTCCCGCACTCAAAGCAGAACACAGATTCTCCTCCATGTGAGATCTTTGATTCACAACCAGGTCGGATTTATGTAGAAAATGGTTCCAGGACTCAGGACAAGCATTTGGCTTCTAGTTCATGTGCAGTCTCTGATGTCTAGAAAGACTTGGCTTATCTGAAAAACATTTCCCACACACAGGGCAAGAATATGGCCTCTCCCCTGTGTGCGATCTCTGATGTTTAAGAAGGTCTGATTTGTGCATATAACATTTCCCGCACTCAAGACATGAATGTGGCCTCTCCCCCGTGTGAGATCGTTGATGTTTAACAAGGTCTGATTTATGCATGTAACATTTCCCACACTGGAGACAGGCATATGGCTTCTCACCAGCGTGAGATTTCTGATGTCTGGAAAGAATAGGCTTATCTGAAAAACATTTCCCGCACTCAGGACAAGAATACGGCTTCTCCCCCGTGTGAGATCTTTGATGTATAACAAGGACTGATTTCTGTGTATAACATTTTCCGCACTCGGGGCAGGCATACGGCTTCTCCCCCGTGTGCAATCGCTGATGTCTGTTAAGATGGGTCCTCTGCGAAAAAAATTTCCCGCACTCAGGACAGTCATAGGGTTTTTCCCCTGTGTGCAGTCTCTGATGTTTGGAAAGATTGGACTTCTGTGAAAAGCATTTCCCGCACTCAGGACAGGAATACGGTTTCTCTCCCATGTGTAATCTCAGATGTCTGGATAGATTGAACGCATGTGAAAAAAGTTTTCCACACTCAGGACATGAAAATTTCTCCTCCCCCATAATTCTGGCCCCATCCCCTACAGTACGAGGGTGCTCAGAGTCAGAGGGATTCCATGGTCTCTCCACACTGGGAAGTCCACCATCCATAGTGGAGCTCATTGTCTTTTCTCCGGCACAATCTCCTGGGATGTCCTCATCTTCCATTTTACAACCTGGAGATAAAGTGAGACGATCCTTTGAGGGTTTCTCCATGGCGGGTCCTGGAAAAATAGAAAAACATCATCAATAGATAGGAGAGGGTTAGTTCACTTCCATCAAGATTCCATCTGGATCAGGGAGATAGGAGGGAGCAGATGTTCTCTGTGGATGTCCCAACCAGCTGGGACCTCTTCAAAGGGCCTTTGGTCCTCCCAGATCACTTCTACATTTACACCGCCTTGTCAGAGGAGCAGGAACCAATGGGGGCTGGGGGGGGGGGGGGGCGGTAACAGAGCAGAGATAAGAGAAGAACATATTCTGGTCACCTGTGCTGATCTCTGTAGGAGTGTCCTCCTCTATGAATGTCCTCCTCATTCCAGCCTCCTCCGTATATTGCTGATCATCCCTCACATACGTCTCTTCTACTTCACCCTCAACTTTCATGTTCATCAGATCTTCACCCTAAACCAACAGAATGGCAGAAAATAACATCTGTAACATAGAAGGATTTATGATGTGAGATCACATAGAACATCTCATCTTGTAGAGTCCACACATCGTCTCCACATGTCAGAGTGTTCCATCACTTTATGTTCCCGACCCTCAGCTCCACGTACCTGATGATGGTGAGGGATGGTGTGACCTTCCTGTGTGGAATCCCGGGAATACAGAGGACGGGGACATCTCTCTGGTGGTTTCCTGGTATTAGGTGGCCCCATCACATCCTTCTGTTCTTCTAAAAAATCCATTCTCACTATACTCATCCTCCTCTTTATACTCTTCTTTAACAATAATATTATAATCACCAAAACTTCCACTCTGAATATAAAATAAAACATTCATTGTAACAAACATGCTGTGTATAAATCTACCAATAATTGTTCCTCATCTACCTGATGATGGTGAGGGATGGTGTGACCTTCCTGTGTGGAGTCCTGGGAATACAGAGGACTGGGGACATCTCTCTGGTGGGTTCCCATGACTGGATCCATCTACCGGATTATGGTGAGGGATGGTGTGACCTTCCTGTGTGGAATCCCAGGAATACAGAGGATGGGGACATCTCTCTGGTGGGTTCCTGGTATTAGGTGGCTCCACCATATCCTTGTGTTCTTCTGAAAGCTCCTCCATCACTCCATACTCCTCATCCTCCTCTTTAAACTCTTCCTTTACAACAATATTATCATCCCCGAGGATTCCACTCTGAATATAAAATAAAATAGTCATTGTAACTTAAAAGCTTGTGTATGAAAAACTTAACTTCCAATAATTGTCAATCATCTACCTGATGATGGTGAGGGATGGTGTGACCTTCCTGTGTGGAATCCCGGGAATACAGAGGGCGGGGACATCTCTCTGGTGGGTTCCTGTAGCTGGATGACTCCACCATGGTGTCCTGGTACAGATCTTTGTGGACTCCTTCTGGAATCTCTGACTTCTCCATCCCCCCCATCCTCCTCCTCTTTTATCTCTTCTTTAACATCAATTTTAGACACAATTAGGTTTCCACTCTGAATATAGAATAAAAATGACATCAATGGTAACAATGCAGATAATGTACAGATCCTAATGATACTATCAGTGATTGTTCCTCATCTACCTGATAATGGTGAGGGATGGTGTGACCTTCCTGTGTGGAATCCCGGGAATACAGAGGACGGGGACATCTCTCTGGTGGGTTCCCATGACTGGATCCATCTACCTGATGATGGTGAGGGATGGTGTGACCTTCCTGTGTGGAATCCCAGGAATACAGAGGACGGGGACATCTCCCTGGTGGGTTCCCATAACTGGATCCATCTGTAGGAAACACACACACTGACTGAATCCATTGTTTCTATGTGTTTATCAGATGATGGGGGATCTAGGTGGATCCTCCGTACTGCTCTCTCCTTTCCAATAAAGTCTCCTCTTACCCGGTGATGTGAGGGGCGGCTGATTGTCCATCATGACGTCCTTGTAGAGGTCCTTGTGTCCTTCTAAATACTCCCACTCCTCCATGGAGAAATAGACAGTGACACCCTGACACCTTATAGGAACCTGACACACACAATGATACAGTCACCATCCAGACACATCCCTTGTCTGTTACTGGAGAATGTCCCAGAATTCCCGGCACCACTCACCTCTCCTGTCAGCAGCTCCATCATCTTCTTGGTGACTTCTAGAATCTTCTCCACGTTGTGTCTCTCAGGGTTTAGGGAGTCACATGGAGGCACTGTGATGGTCATATGATCACCTGACTTCAGAAGAGGAAATCTCTGTATTGGGGAACCAATAGGAATATCATGTTAGACTCCCAGAATCCTCCTCACCTCTCCGGTCAGGTCTGTGTTTTATTAATAGAGATGAGTGATGTCATGTGACCTCCCAGAATCCACCTCACCTCTCCGGTCAGCAGGTAGATGATCTCCAGGGTGAGGTTTAGTATCTTCTCAGTCATGTGACTCCGGTCCTCCTCCATCCTCATTGGTCATGTGATCTATACAGGTTTCCTGTAGACCAATAATTGATAACAGAGAATGATCTGGACTGTACTGGTTGTACAATATTAGGATGGGGGGGAGGGGGGATAATATGAGAATCTCTATCATGGAAGAACGGTCCCCACTAGGATTACACACAGAGAGACATTCAGTTTAGTTTATGTTTTTGGGGTTCATGAAGCCTTTTACCCTTTACCAAAACTTCTATCCTCTGCACCTCTCAACAATGAGGAGAATGTTCCGGCCCCGGAAGTGGGGAAATATTCTGCCCCTGAAGGGGTTAATCTGGGTTCCCACACTATATATGTGTGTATCATCATCTGCTGGAGATAAAAGACGTCACAATGACTATGGAGGAAGAGACGGACGGACGATGGAGGAAGAGGACGGACGTGACGATGGAGGAAGAGGACGGCCGTGACGATGGAGGAAGAGGACGGATGTGACTTTGGAGGAAGAGGAAGGACGTGACGGTGGAGGAAGAGGACGGTCGTGACGGTGGAGGAAGAGGAAGGTCGTGACGATGGAGGAAGAGGACGGTCGTGACGATGGAGGAACAGGATAGAGGTGACGATGGAGGAAGAAGATGAACATGATAGTGGAGGAAGAGGACGGACATGACTATGGAGGAAGGAGATGGACATGATAGTGGAGGACACGACTATGGAGGAAGAGGATGAACATGACAATGGAAGTAGAGGACATGCATGACGAGGGGGGTTACTAGGTGTAACTATAAAGTAAGACCTTATTACCTCCTCTGCTGCCACTTCCAGCAATGTCTCCTCTCTACTTTCTCCTGATTCACCTCGGAACTTCCTACTTATACCTGACATCACTTCCTGTCTTCCATAGAGTCTTCCTGTCTCGGAATAATGGAGATCACCACAGTATGGATCTCAGAGAAACTGCAGCCCCCGAGAATATTTTTCATAGTGTGACCCCGGCCTTGTCTTGCTGCCAAGTGTCCCGAATACTGCAGTTCAGTCCCAAAAGTTGCCTGGATTTTGGCAACTGTTCAGAAAACAACCTGTCTGATAGACATCTGACAGAACATCAGGAGAAAGTGACACAGGGGTTGGACATATCCAGAGTGCGGGGCTCCAGAATTTCATTTCAAAGGTGTTTTCTCATCTTTCTCCGAGAGTTGTAGTTCCTCAATTGGGGCTGGAGCTTGGAGATTTCAAAGAGCTTTGGGAAGGTCCTCCAATCTTGTGAGGAGCAGGCTGAGTGTGCCGGTGTTCACAGTCCTTACAACCTAGGACCTGACAATAGGTCAGGGCTCCACCTGAGAGACAGGTGGTCATAGAGGTCAGGAGGACCCCAATCCTTTCCTAGGAGTCATTGGGAAGCCAGAGCATGCATGTGTGCACAGTGACAGAGGAGCTGGAGGAGAGCCGAGGTACAGAGGGTGTACAGGATCACGGAGGTGCTGTGTTTGATGGTCTAGAGAACCAGACTGGAGGTCTGGTGGAGACAATCCCTGGGTGGGAGACCAATTTTCTGCTTCAACCTTCTTTTGTTTTATTAATAAAGGTGGACCAACAAGCCCTTAAACAACACTTCCTGGAGAGCAGCCAGTCAGTGTGTCCCAGATCACCGCCACACCAGTACCCCATACGTCACCATACCTGATCACCCCCACACCAGATCAGTGCAGCCAGCACCTGTGTTCCTGACCACTGCCACACCAGACCAGTGCAGCCAGCACCCGTGTTCCCGATCACCACCACACCAGACCAGTGCAGCCAGCACCCGCGTTCCTGATCACCACCACACCAGATCAGTGCAGCCAGCACCCATGTTCCTGATCACCCCCACACAAGATCAGTGCAGCCAGCACCCATGTTCCTGACCACCACCACACCAGACCAGTGCAGCCAGCACCCATGTTCCTGACCACCACCACACCAGTGTAGCCAGCACCCATGTTTCTGATCAATGCCACATCAGACTAGTGCAGCCAGCAACAGTGCTCCTGATCACCGCCACACCATACCAGTGCAGGCAGCAGGCATGTTCCTGACCACCACACCAGACCAGTGCAGCCAGCACCCATGTTCCTGACCACCACCACACTAGACCAGTGCAGCCAGCACCCGTGTTCCTGATCACCACCACACCAGACCAGTGCAGCCAGTACCCATGTTCCTGATCAATGCCACACCAAACCAGTGCAGCCAGCAACAGTGTTCCTGATCACCACCACACCAGACCACTGCACAGAGCACCCATGTTCCTGACCACCACCACACCAGACCAGTGCAGCCAGCACCCATGTTCCTGATCAATGCCACACCAGACCAGT